CTTTTGGAGACAGAAGTACTAAAGTACTTGTAGACATACTTTAGAACTACCATAGTGCTCCTATTCTTTAAAGGATAATCACTGTTAATATATTGTTATATAATGTTTTAGACATTTTTCTATGCACATACAAATATATATATGAGGTACATATGAATGTATATCTATTACATATACATGTTTTACATATATTTATAGTTGTTTAGAAAATGCTATGAATATTATTTTACAAATTTTTATTCATTACATAATATGTTAAGGATATCATTTCTCCTTGTAACACATAGCTCATTCTTTTTAATAGCTGCATAGCATTTCATTAGATACTAATAACATAATTTATTTAATCATTTCCCCAAAGATGTACATTTGGGTTATCTACAGTTTTTTTGTTACTATGAATAATATTGCAGTACACATCCTGGTACATAAAACCTTGCCTGCTTATTTAAGTATTTCTGCATGATACATTCTTATAAATGGAATTGCTGTATCAAAACATTTCTGCTTTTACTATTTTGATAGGTACTATCAAATTGCCCTTCAAAAGTTTCCTTTCTATGCACAGTTACATTACTCTTACTCATACTCTCTGTTTACTGATTATTCCTACTGCCTGTGGTATCTGTGCAGAATTTTCTCATCTCTGGTGTCTTTTAGCTTTTCCAACACGTAATTTGTATTTCTCATGAAATGTTTCTGAGATAATCTAATTATCTACCTAATCACCATTCCATTATTCCTGTTTGGGCAGATCTGTTTCTCCAGGCCATCCCATACATCTCGGCCCTACAGCTTGGCTGTCCTTGAATCAAGCAACCACTTCTGGCAGAATCGGCTGTGGACTGGGGGCGGGAGATGGGTCAGGAGATACCGTTAAACAAACCCTGTCTGAGGAACCACCCAGGGCTACTTTTCTACCATGAGGCTGTGGGTATGGCAAGTATTCAGAGGTACGACTAGCCCTTTAGAGTGATTTTACCTAAGACACTCAAACCTTAGAGACTCAATGACCCATGTGAAAAGCGGAAATAATTAGATGTCTTCCACCTGTTACATAGGATTGTTATGAGCATGAAATAAAATATTGTAAATTGTAATGCACTGCGTGAAATGAAACAACTAGCAAAATCCGTGGCATATACTAGATGCTCCATCAACAGTGGTGTAGCAAGATGCTCTACAGTGCCCAGTACTAAAATGATCTATTCAGGCCCACCACAGCATGAAGCGCCACTCAGCCTTAGTCTGGGGCACTACCAGGCACTGGGGCTGCTGGCAGGGCGAGCTGACGGTGCCCGTCAGAAGAGCCATCAAGTCTGCTGTCATTCCTGCCCAGACCACCTGGGAACAAGTGGGGGACTTTTGGCAGGAGGTGTGAGGGGCTGCAGAGTCCTTGAGGAGAGGCTATTCCCTCTTCTCACCAACCAGGGAAGAGAAGGTACTTCCTCTTCCTGAAGCACCGGGAGGGAAGCTTCACGTGTGTGTGTGTGTGTGTGTGTGTGTGTGTGTGTGTGTAACCACATCCATTCCTGCTCCACCGAGTCAGGGACATGTGAAAGTGTCTCGTGTGAAGCTGTCAGTGCTGGAACTAGCAGAGATCCCGCTGACACCCCGTATGGAAAAAGGGGTGGGAGGAGGATGATGGAGTCGAGAAAGAACAGATGGTCTTTTTTTTGTTTTTAAGTTTCCCCTAAAGTTAAAATTTTTAATTAAAAAGACTATTATTTTCCTTCTTAAAACTCCCTTTTTATGGTAAAATATAGACACAGACAGAAAAAAACATTAAATGTGCAACTTAATGAGTTATCAAAGCAATATCTGTGTAACTATCCCTCAGGTCAATAAATAAAACATTGCCAACACCCCAGCCCTCTCCACCTGTGTCTCTTCAAAATCAGAAAACCCTCCCTCCCGCAAAAGGTAACCATGACTTGACCTTTATAATAATCATACTCTTGGTCTTTTTTTTTTTGAAAAAAAATTTAAGCTTGCATCCCAAAGCATTATACTTCAGTATGGCTTGTTTGGGGAATTTATATAAATGGAATCACACAGCGTGAATATACATCAATTTGTATATCTATGCTACTGTTGATGGGCATTTGGTTTGTTTCCAATTCAGGACTATTATTAACATGCTGCTGTAAACATTCTTTTTTTTGAATTTTTGAATTTTATTTTATCTGTTTTTTTTTATACAGCAGGTTCTTATTAGTCATCAATTTTATACACATCAGTGTATACATGTCAATCCCAATCTCCCAATTCATCACACCACCACCACCGCCCCCCGCCACTTTCCCCCCTTGGTGTCCATATGTTTGTTCTCTATATCTGTGTCTCAATTTCTGCCCTGCAAACCGGTTCATCTGTACCATTTTGCTAGGTTCCACATGCTGCTGTAAACATTCTTATACATGATTACAGGTGTGTATGTATACATTTCTTTAGGGTGTATAGCTAGGAGTGGAATTGTTGGGTGATAGAGTATGTGAATTCTCAACTGGACTATAGAATGTTTTCCAGGTGGATTCCCAATGTACATTCCCACAAGCAGTTTAGGAGAGCTCTCTATGCTTCACATCTAAAATGATCATTCTTCATTCTGAGATAATGTACTTCTGTATGAAAAAGGCCTTTAAAAAAAAAAGTGATAAAAATGATAATGGTAGAATTAACAGATTACTCTTTCTAAATGGCTTTACATGGTAAAATAAAGATCTAATAGTTCCATTTAAGCCCTATTTCCCGCCTGAAATCTTACTGGATCATGACATCCCAAATGCTAGAAACCATTGTCTCACATAACATGATATAGATTGTTCCTAATTATTATTTTCACATCAAAAACCACTTGATACGTATAGCAGCCAGCCTCCAAGATGGCCCCCAGTGAACCTTCTCTCTTGGTATTCATGCCTTTGTGCAGACATTCCACAATGAATATGGGCTGATTTTGTGACCGATGGAAGTGTCAGTGTATCAATTCATAAGCTAGGTCATAGAAGGCAATGCTGCTTCAGTGTTTGGCCTTTTGGATCAATCACTCTGGGGGAAGTCAGCCACCATGTGTGAGGATGCTCAAGCAGCCCTGTGGACAGGCCCACAGAGAAAAGACCAATTTACCAACGCCAACTTGCTAACCAAGTGAGTGAGCCACCTTGAGCAAACTTCTGCCTCAGTCAAGCCTTCAGATGATTTTAGTCCTCCAGCCTTTGAATTTTCCAGCTAGACCCCAGAAATCATAAAGTAGAGACAAGCTATCCCCCTGTGCCCTCTTTGAATCCCTGATCCACAGAAACCATGAGATAATACATGATTATTGTTGTTTTAAGCCACCAAATTTTAGGATGATTTGTTATGCAAGAGATAATTAACATAATATACATGATCACCTAGAAAATATACTTGGCCAAAATTTGAACTTCCATCTGATAATGCCTCTATATTTAAACACAGGTTTAGAATAAGTAGAGGTGACAAAGCAACATGTTGAATAAATGTGCACAGGGATGCAAATAGCAAAAATCCAGAATATAGGAAATTCTACAGCATAAATGACCCAACTCCTTCAGCTAGTAAATTGGAAAAAAAAAAAAGATGAGAAAGGGAACCCATAAATTAAAAGGGACTTACAAGGTATGATAGATTGTACTACTCCCAGTATTTGCTGTCCTCTCCTGTGGGAGACATATTCTTCCCTTCTCCCCTCTGACATTGGCTTTGGCCATGTGACACTCTTTGACCAATGAAATGTGAGCAGATATGATGGTTGCTACTTCTGAGCAGAAGTTTTAAAAGTCATTGTGTTTCAACCATTCATCATTTCCATCTGCCAGGAAGTGGGTGTATCCCAAATAGGGACTGTTTCTTCAGCCCATGGCCAAGAGTGAAGAGGATGCAGAGCTGACTCACAGTGGAAATTCACGTGAGCAGGAAAGAAACCCAAGTTGTCATAAGCTACTGTGATTTTAGAGCTGTTTGCTACCACAGCATAACCTAGTATAATCTGATTCATGCAATAAATGTTTTAATCAAATACAAAAGATAAACCTGGTTAGGATTCCAATTTATGAGACCACTGTAGAAATTTGAATATGGACTAGATATTTAATGATAATTAAGAATTGCTATTTATTTTATAGGTATGTTGACGGTACTGCAGTTTTTTAAGTTTTAAGATTTAGACCTTTATTTATTTATTTATTTTTGGCTGTGTTGGGTCTTAGTTGTGGCACATGGGATCTTTCGTTGCGGCGTGCAGGCTCTTTGTTGTGGTGCACGGGCTTCTCTTTAGTTGTGGCGCACAGGCTTCTCTCTAGTTATAGCGCATGGGCTCCAGAGCGCCCGGGCTCAGTAGTTGCAGCATGTGGGCTTAGTTGCCCCGTGGCATGTGGGATCTTAGTTCCCTTACCAGGGATCGAACCCGCGTCCCCTGCATTGGAAGGTGGATTCTTAACCACTGGACCACCAGGGAAACCCCTGCAGTTATGTTTAAAACAACAAAAATAGTTCTTTTATTTTAGACACGTGGTCCAGGGGAAAGGGAAGGTAGGTTAGGATATAGCTTAGTCATGAGTTGATAATTGTTGAGCTGGGTGTTGAGAACATGCCAGTTTATCATACTATTCTTTCTACTTTTGTTAATGCTTAGAAATTTTCATAATAAAAAGTAAAAAAAAAACAGTCTATCAGCTTGAGTCCCAGAGTTGTCCCTTGACTCCCCAAGGTGTACAGAAAATATGGGAGCTGAGAAGATGGAGTTGATCAATTAAGTTTAGTGAGTAAGTAAATAAGGGAGGTGTTTGGAGAAGGTCTCAGGAACAAGACATCAAAACTGATTTTCAGTAAGGAAGATGTTTCTTCGGGAGCACTGTATCAGGCTAGAGCAATATCAGGGTAAGATTTGGTGCACTGGAGAGGGGTGGGGGGCTCTGAAGGTATCAGCTTCCACCACAAGTGTGAAAGGGAATGGGTGTGTCTTAAGTAGAACTGTTATCTCTTCTCTGTTTATTAGCTAAAATCAAACGTAGTATCTGTCCTACCAATTAAAGCACCTGACATATTCTTTATCTGTGTATTAGGCATTAATGTTTGGAGTTAGGAGATGAATTGGTAGCTTAATTAATCGGCTCCACCCTCAGCTTGGAACTGCATTACTTCCAGGAACGGTGCCTTCCTTTTGAGTTAATGACAGATTGTTTTCTATTGTTCCCCTTGCCTCCTACGAAGTGTTCTAATTCACTTTTTTTTTTTTCTAATTCACTCTTAAAGAGGCTCCAGACTACATTTCCACCATTTGTACTGCAAGGATAGGATTTCCTGTAAGTGGAGTAGACAAAGTAGCTGAGCTTGAGCCATCTTGCCAGTTTCACATCCAAGAGAATGTTAGACAAGAGGACCACTTGGGCTGAGGGAGAGAAGAGGCTGAGCCTGAGCCAGACCCTCTGTCAGGAGACTGTGGACCAGGACATGTGACTTAGGGAGAGCCAACACAGGCAGCTCTAGAGGGGGAAGAAAATCTGTTGGCGTTAGAGAAGCAGCGGCAACCTCAGTGGTAGCACCTACTGCCCCCTGTCCAAAGGAGCCAAGGGAGGAGATTCTCATTTCACCCTCCAAACTGAGGGTGCTTCTGTCTGGGAAAGGGGGAGAAGACGGGGGTGTGAGAGCAGACATATCTCCCAACCCCTCTCCCACTAGATTGACATTGAAGTTTTGTATTGCTTTGTTTGTGAGATTGAAGTTTGAATATGAATAGGGCTGAGCATTAGAGATAAGACTGGGAAGTTATGGAATTAGATGGAGACATCATAAAGATAAGGGAGTTCACTGCCCAGAGTAAAGGGGGGATTTTACCAGAGGAGGCAGGGAGCAGTTAAACAGCTTCATGTTTACACCCCAATGAATTGCTACGCCTTAATAACCTTAGGGTTCTGGACTTCCCTGGTGGCACAGTGGTTGGGAATCTGCCTGCCGATGCAGGGGATACGGGTTCGAGCCCTGGTCCGGGAAGATCCCACATGCCGCAGAGCAACCGAGCCCAAGAGCCACAACTACTGAGCCTGTGTGCCACAACTACTGAAGCCCGTGCATCTAGAGCCCGAGCACCGCAACAAAGAGTAGCCCCCGCTCACTGCAGCTAGAGAAAGCCCGCACGCAGCAACGAAGACCCAATGCGGCCAAAAAATAAAAAATAAATAAAAAATCAAAAATCACAGGGTTCCTTTATTTCCCCTAACAACATAACAACAAAAAACGAAACCAAACCAAAAAACTTTGGTTCAGTGATACACCATCCACTTCAAACTAGACAAAGCTTGTCTTCGGCAATTGCCCTTCTTAATCTTTCCTTCCTTCTTCCTTCTCTCCCTTAACCTGCAGAAAGGATCTGTGTCCTCCTGCTGCCCTCTGTACAGTTAACTAGTGCCAAACCTATGTACCATCAAGGACACTAAAAATAAATATCTATATTTTCTTTTAATATTTTGCCTACTGTGACCTACTTTTGGTTCAATGTCAAAAGCAAAGGGGTGAGGTGTGCCCTAAATAAACATGTCAGTGAACTCTGTCCTACTGTTTTGGCTGCATGGCTTTTGTACTGTCAACCAAAGTTGTTTTCTATAGACAGCAAAAGTTGCAAAGATCTTCCGTGTCAATACACTGATATTTAAGTTCTGAAATTCCACTTACTTCATCAAAAATCTGTTTGTTTGAAAACAGTTTCCCACTGATAATCCTGGAATTAAGGAGGTCTAGTTAGTGCCTGAGTCACATGTAGAATCACTTCTAACCCACCCACGCAGCTGAAAACACATTTTTCAGAGATTATAAAGTCAAGAGCTGTGAAGGTACCTGGCAAAGAGAGCATTTTGTCAGCTGATGTCATTTTTAAAAATTTTTGTTTATTTATTTACTTTTGGCTGTGCTGGGTCTTCGTTGCTGCACACAGGCTTTCTCTAGTTGTGGTGAGTGGGGGCTCCTCTTCATTGTGGTGCGCGGGCTCTAGGCACCCGGGTTTCAGTAGTTGCAGCATGCAGGCTCAGAGGTTGTAGCCCATGGGCCATAGAGTGCAAGGGCTTCAGTAGTTGTGGTGTGTGGGCTCAGTAGTTGCAGCTCGTGGGCTCTAGAGTGCAGGCTCAGTAGCTGTGGCACATGGACTCAGTACTTGTGGCTCGCGGGCTCTAGAGCGCAGGCTCAGTAGTGGTGGTGTCCGGGCTTAGTTGCTCCGCGGCATGTGGGATCATCCCGGACCAGGGCTTGAACCTGTGTCCCCTACATTGGCAGGTGAATTCTTAACCACTGCGCCACCAGGGAAGTCCCTATGTGTGTGCTTTAAAGAAATAGTTTTAATATTCTGTTAAAGCCTAGGAGTTGTTAATGAATACTTTAAAGTGCTCTAATGGGGAATATACACTCTAGGGGGTGGTTTGTCACCACTGAAGGGCCCTAATCAGGACTCTGGACTTGGAATAGTGGCTACTGCAGCTTCTTTGACTATCTGTTTCTGAACCTACACTAGAGAATTTATTCTTTAGCAATAAGAGATGTTGGAAATAACTTAATAATTTATTGATGACATGGATGGTTATTGAGGTATGTGCACTGCACAGGCATCTTACCCTTAAATGAATGGGGCATAAGTTTTGGGTGAGCCCAGAACAGTGCTCTAGGCCCGGGTGTTTGTTTAGTCCTGTGCTTGCCACTTAGTGCAGGATTCTGTCACCTGATCCAATGAGATGCGTGGCTGGATCCTGCTCTACAACACTGTGGTGTCCAGTTCAAGTTTTCCTGATGGGTTCTGGTCAGGAGCTACAAGTTCATGGAACTCCAGGCTCTAAGGGGACAAATTGTCAGAGGTTCCACCAGGACACCGACGATTGTGTGCCTCCAAGCCAGTTGACAACATTTGATCCACAAACAGTTCTCATGAGATGTACTTAATTAAAAAAAAAAAAGAGGACCAATAGGGGAAAAAAAAGTCTATGTACAATGACAAAGATTTGAGGGAGTTTCATAGAAATGTGGTTTTGTCTATATAATAATAATAATATCAAAAAATTTAAAACGGCTTACTATGTGTCAGGCACTGTTCTAAACTCCCTCTCTCTCTCCATATATATATTCATTTAACACTTGTCATAACTCTATAAAGAGATACTATTATCACATTATTAACCCCATTTTACTGGCAAGGAAACTGGGGCACACAGTATGACTTGTCCTAGATGATACAGACAAAGTGAGTGGGGAAGCTGTGATTTGAACCCAGGCAGTCTGAATCCAGGCTCGTATTGTTATAGACACTAGTTTCCTTTCTGAAAAATAGCAGTCGGTAAGTGACCAGGAGCCACAGGAGTTTATAGAATTAAAGAAAACTGGACTTGCTTTAAGAGCCCTGGGGGGAAACTAAGGAATTCTGAGGTTTTCCTTGGCTTGAGAAAAGGCCCTTACCAACAAGAGATTTTCCTGTCAAGCATCATTTGGGCAGCAGGGCTTCGGTGATGAATTAAAAATAAAGACCTGTCACTTGGTTGATGATGTGTATAACAGTTTTTCTAGACGCAACAAAGCTGCTGAGTATTAGAAGACTTTGACGAGAAAGGCAGGCAGGTGACAATTTGCTTCTCTTTCCCATATTTGGCTCCCTTCCTTTTATGTCCCCCTATACCAGAACAACCGCTCACACATCTAAGTCACAGCAAAACGTTCCTTCATGAAGCCATATTTTTCTCTGCTCCTTGTACTCCCTCAACCAGGGCAAGAGTTGGGATAATCTGATTACTAGCACAGTCATTTGGTGAACTCTTTACCTGCAGGTATAAATCTGATCTTGCATCTTGCTTTTGCAAGTTCCTCTCTGGGCGTGGTTCTTAGAGAGACCAGAAACCCACCACCCATAGCCAGCATCCTGTGGATGTCCTTGGCTGACTTACTCATTCTAATTCCCACTACGTAATTTTACCAAGTGTTACCCGAGTGTTGCGAGGTGCATTTAGGGCCTTCTTCCATTTCCCTGTCACCGAGGCAACCTGATGTGCATCTCCCACAGTCCTCCTTTCCTCAGCCTTGCTCTGCATGTTCTCAGGATGCTGGTCAGTCACTCATTCAACCACATCACACAGAACTCTAGGAGACTGAGCACCAGACTAACATAATGGCTCTGTGGGCTGCCACATCACCAAAATTTTAAAGGTTCTAGAATTTTAGGGGTTCTCATAACTGTTACTTACTTGGTAAGTTGCCAGTTCTTTTTAAAAAAAATTCCCAATGTTTGCATGTATCAGATTACTTTTATGTAAAAATATAATAAATAATTAATGTATTCATCCAACTTGAGTTGAGTACTTGGAACCCAATGCTGATAACTCAAGAGGAATAAGATACAGACCCTGCTGATCTGTTGGAGTTGTTTTGATTGCAGGTGATAGGAATCCAACTTAAACTAGCTTAAACAAAAAAGGAAATTTATTGACTCATGTAACTGAAAAGTCTGTGTGTAAATTCAGGCATGGCTGGATCAAGGGAGCTCACAAGATTTCATCAGGACTCCTTTTTCTCTATTCATCTCCACTTGTCTTTGCCTCTCTTTGTGTGCAGACCTCATTTTCTCTTACTAAAGATAGCTTCCTCCAATATGACCTGAACAAATGGCCTTAAGAAGCTCCAGCTTCTTAAGAATGATCTTCTAAGATCATTCTTAGAGCTCAAAATAGCAGAATAGAGGTCCTCTCTCCCTCAGAATCCATATATCAAAATTCAGAAAGATTCTGATTATCTCTAGTTGATCACGTGCCTGTTTAACTGACCACTCTGACCAGAGGAATGGAATATTCTAATTGGCCAGGCTTAGGTTATATACTTACCCCTCAGATGAGGAAGGTTCAACCTGGTTGTATAACATGAAATGTGTTTCCCACACAGAGCAAAGGGTGACTGATAGACAAAAATAATAGATATTCTCTGTGGTAGCCAGCCTCAAAGATGACCCCAAATGATCCTCACTTCCTGGTATTTTTATATCCTTGCATAATCTTCTACATTGTATCATATGTGACCAACAGAATCCTACAGAAGTGATAGTGTGTGACCTTCACAGCTAGGTCATAAAAGACATTGTAGAGTTTATCTTGCTCTCTCTTAGAATACCTGCTCTGAAGGAAGCCAGCCACCATGTTGTGAGGA